ACCAGGCTAACTTGATTTTCATGCAAACCTGCTCCTGGGTTCGCATGTGGCCGTTGGTAGCCAGGCTGGCAACTCTCCTGCCATAGATGGCCAAGTTCCTTCATCTAGTGCAGAGTTTATGGACATTGGGGGCATCCCCTCCCAAACCTGAATAAGGTCCATGATCTCCACCCTGGACCAGGAAGGCGCCCACCTTCTCCAGGCCCTGGCAGGTTCCTGGGAGCTGGCAGACTGCTCCTGGGGAGCAGTGGAGGGCTGGCTGCCAGTGGCTTACTGGCTCATGTTTTGGGGCCACTGGGTCAGGGGCAGTGACTGCTGGCTCTGGGCTGGCAGGCTTGGAGCTGGCACAGGCACTGTGGCCAGAGTCAACCCCTTTAAGGGCTCTGGGGAGGAGGAAGGGGAAGGAGTGTTCTTGGTTGAGGTTGGAGTGGCTACCAGTGCACCCTGGGAAGGCTGGAGGCCCTATTTTGAAATAAGTGTCTACACAGAACTTATTTCAAAATAGCTCTCTCGAATTTAGCGTTATTCCTTGTGGAATGAGGTTTATCAAATTCAAAATAAGTGCTCCGCTATTTTGAATTAATTTCAAAATAGAGGTTTGGCTGTGTAGATGATAGCAAAGTTATTTCGAAATAACGGCTGTTATTTCGAAATAACTTTGCTGTGTAGACATACCCCTAGAAACCAAAGGAATCTCTTATGCACAAGCTGAATCATGACATGAAAATACGAAACCTGGAGGCTGAGAACCAACACTCTGGTTCCAATGATGGAATTATAGGTACAAGAATCACCATCCTGCACTTTTGTTTTCGTGAAGTTATTTTGAGTAATCTTAAGATATAGAATTGGTCTTCACTCCCCCATTTTTTGGGAACTAGAAAATACTTGGATTAAGAGCCCTGCCTCTGTGCTGAGATGGATCTGGTTTTGTGCCTCCTAAGTATAAAAAGGAATCCATTTCCTGTTTCAGCAAGTGCTTATGAGAGAGGTCCCTGAAAAGAGATGGGGAAGAGAGACAATTTGGGAGGGGGATGTAAAATTGAGGGAAGCAACTAAATCTTGTAACTTCCAACACTCATTTGTTGGATGCAAACTGCTCCCATGTGGGTGAAAGTTGGAGAGGGAGCTTCCAAAGCTGGGGACAGGAGGGGGAGAAGCAGGTAGAAGCTCAGTGGTGTGAGGTTGTTCCAGACTCTTGACCAATCTATCAAACCTGCTGTTTTGATGACGACAAAGGTGGCGTAGCATAAGGCTTAGTGGTGTATATAATGAAGGTGTTCTATTTCTTTGCTCAGGTCAACACATAGGGGCAATTTCAAATTAAGGTATGTAACTCCAACTATGTGAATTACTGTGGCACCCCCACTGTGGGGGGGTCAACCTGAGTGTGATCAGATCCACTAAATCAACTCCTGTGAGATCAATTCCCAGAGCACCAATCTCCCAGCAAGTATAAACATGGCCTTTTGAAACATTGGCTTCTTTCTGGACAGTGCTGTGGGTCTCTGAAATCCTGAAAATGGAGCAAGATGGGATCTCTGTGCTAGCTGCAATCGGCTAAACTTTCATTTGCTTGCAGGTGGGAATTTCCAGAGGGCCCTGGAATTTTTTAATGTGTGCACAAGGATTTGTCAGTGGTTTCCACAAAAAAATGTAATCCATCGAAGCGGGGGGGACCTCGATAAGGTTTTGGACCTCTCTTGGGAACTCAGACAGCTGGAGCAAGGATGTTCTATGCATGACCACTGCTGTAGAAACGGACTGAGACACAGGATCAAACTGCATCTAAAGAGGCCCACTGTGAGGTCTGAGCTAACAATTGTTAATAATTGACTGAAGTTGCTTATGATGTTTCATAAGCAGGAACTTAATAAAAATGGTAAACTTAGAATAATGTGTATAGTTATGTTTTGCTCTAAAAGCCTGGTAATTTGTGATCCTGAACTGAAGTCCCACAGACAAGTAGTTCTTGCAGCCAAATAAGGAGAGGTTCACACATTTTTGTTCAGGTGTGGATTTTACATGGTGCTGCTTTCCATGTTCATTCATTGCTTCTACAACCAAAAATTTAGGTGCAGAATAGGAAAATAAAAGTTCAGAGTCCTTAGGTAGGACTGAATATTTTTACTGGCACTCTTGCATATTAGTGGTATTGTTGCTGGGGTATGCAAGATGGTCTTTGCAGTGTCCCACTGGGCCCATTAATTGGCAAGGCAATTTAAGCAGAGGAAGTCCACTGAAGAATGTTCATGAGCTTATGCTACCTCTCTCATCTCCTCTCAGGGAATCTGTAAAGAAATTGCACACATTTCAGTCAATCCTGAAATTGTTTGAAATCATTAGCCAGAGAAGCTGGAGGAGGCATTTCCATCTCATCTTGCAGAAAAACTTCATCTGCTTTGGCCTCCCTTTCTTCAAAGGGTTCTGCATTTGAGTTAATGGAGGAGGGATAGATGGAGTAGGAATAGGTCTCCTTCTGTGGTCCTCACATGAAAGACAAGGATCTCATGAAAATTGGTGTTGACATACAACCTAAGGATCCCAATATGGCCACTAAGAGAGTTCATGAGACATGGGAGTTGCTGTCAATGGTGACTGAGCAGTGCAAAAAGAATGCAGGTTAGTGCTAGATGCAATTCCTCTCTTTCCCCGGAAGTGTCAGGAGAGGAGGTCCCACTGGTGAATCTGGGGATCCTAGACTGAGATTTGGAAGTCTGAAGAGAACAACACTGCATGTGAAGGAGGAACTCTGTCCTTCTGAGGGTTGGAGAGTTGAACAGTCTTGGGAAAAGTCTTGATGACTGTGTCACTTGTGAGAGACTCTAGCTCATCCAAAATTAATAATATTGTGGAGTATCCGAATTCCTGTGGTACTGGGTGTGTTGGCGCATAGTCAGGTTCCAAGTTGGTATTGCTGGCAGAGATGCTCTGATGGATCTCATACGATGGAAATAGAAGGCTCCGATGAAGATGGCTTGGAGGATTTGAGACAGTGTGAGAGGTGTGACGTCTGCCCTAGTATTGAGGATGTTTTGGTGGCTGACTTAGACATGGAGAGTATTGGGGGAGTTTTGTATCAGTACTGAAGCATGTTTGGTGCATTTAGCCTTAGAAAAGCTTAGAACTCCTTGCACAGAGTCAACACTGAAAAAGTCTGGAGTCTCAGTGGTACCCAAAGTAGGACTTGAGATCTGCAGAACCATCTCACTTTGAGAAGACTGAGGCTCTCCCAAAGTAGACTCTTTGGGTATGTCTAGACTGCATCTCTCTGTCGGCAGAGGGATACAGATTAGGCAGGTTGACATTGTAAACGAGGCAGGGATTTAAATATTCCATGCCTAATTTGCATAAAAATGGCCACCAAGTTTTGCTGACTCAGTCTACAGGGGGATCTGTTGAGAAATAACACCTTTTTTGACAGATCCCTTATGCCTCCTGCAAGGAGGTTTACAGGATCTGTCGAAAAAAAAGATTTCTTTCTCCAAAGATCCCCCTCTAGACTGCTGCTTTTTGCCGACAAAGTGCTGAGTCAGCAAAACCCGGTGGCCATTTTTATGCAAATTAGGCACAGGATATTTAAATCCCTGCCTCATTTGCAATGTCGACCTGCCTAATCTACATCCCTCTGCCGACAGAGGGATGTAGTCTAGACATACCCTTTATAAGGAGAATGAGCCTGCTGAGGATCTCTCCTGAGTAAGTGCAGATGTTGACAGGGCACTGTGGCCTATTAGAGGCTGATGCCTAGATCCAAGGCCAGATGGAGATAACACTCTGTCATTAACAGTTTAAGTTTTATTTTCGTGGCCCTGGTTTTAAAAGCTGAACAAATAACATATCTGAGGGAATTAAGTCTCGCTCATGCTGTAGATACACCAGAAATTCCAGTCATTGATCACAATAGTTTCCCGGCAAGTCAGGCAATTATTGAAAATCAGGACATTGGATCTCAAAATGAAAAATCCCTGCTAGAGTGAAGGGACTTCTAGAGCAAATCTCTCTACAAAATCAATGAAGCATAAAATTAAAATTAAATTAAAAAAGAAAAAATCAAATTAAGGACAAGCTTTCGATAGTAAAGCAAACACATTACACTCAATCTCAGACTTTGAAGGAAAGTTTGCCCAGGCAGCCCTATATGTCCTCAGGTGTAGGGCATAAGGATGTATAATTCACAATGGGCACTACCATCAAAAGGCTCCAGTCAAGGTGCACAGGGTGTAAGCACACCTGAAATGGAGCATTATTAGGGATGCTAATTGAAGAACAACTCTGGAATATGTACCAGGACATGGTGGAAAAAGTTGCACAGTTACACCAGTGCAGCACTAACAATCTATTGATATTACAACAATACTTTTAACATGGAAAGGGCCTAAGTACTTATATAGCCCCAATCCTTGTCATATTTAGGTACTGGCAACTAAGCTCTGGGACAGTGGAAGGTTTGGATGTATCTACAGTTACAAGGAGTTATTAGTTTTCATACATTGCAAGACACAGGCTCAGTCCTGCATCATGAGTCACCTAACTGAAGACTGTAGGGCTACTTTTTCTAGTTCTAACCTCTATGCTGTGTACTTAGAAACAGTGCACAACACATTTCTGTCAAGCACCATGTGAGAGTATACTAAGGGAACTTTTCATAATGAAATTTTAAAAATAGTATTTACACTAGCCACTAAATTCTTAAAGTGTTTCCAAAAAGCAGCTAAATTGCCTTCTATGTATTCTTCTTAAGCCCTTTTGCTATATTAAAAATCTTGCAAAAATACCATTTAAAGCTTTTTTCTCATGATGAATGGATTACAGAATTTATATTTTGCCAAATCAATTTTCTTCTTGCTCTTCCCTCCTTCCCTTTCCACCCCCAAAGGATATTCTCTATACCTCATGTGCAACTCAGGGGTTTCATATTGTTCAGAACCATGATACAAATTCGGATCTTTTAATGTGCATTGAAAACAATTTGAAAGTATTTGCTTCTACACCATAAATATGTGGAAAAGATATTTAATTGTAAAATAGAAAAAGTAGGCCAGAGTACAGTTTTAAGGGCAATGCCTTTGAATACAGTATAGGTAAACTAGACTTTGTTTACATTTATATAAACAATATCATAAAAGCAGTGAAACATGGAAAGACAAAGCAAAGCACGATTAAAAGACAATTTATGTTTTACAAAAAAGGAATCTACACCACAGTTGAAAGTTTAATGTAACGTGGCATCAAAAAGTCGTAAGGCAGCATGACCTAAGGAAGGGACTAGGAGCCAGGAACTCCTGAGTTCTATTCCCAGGTCTGCCACTGACTTATGTGGCCTTGGGCAATTCACTTAACTTCTCTGTGTCTCACTTACACTAAAATGGAGATAATAATGTTCCTACCATAGGGGGCACAGAAAGGATTAATTATTTACTGATTATACAACTCTTTAAAGATGTAAAGCACTATATAAATGCTAAGTACAAATCACTGCACAAACAGACACTTTATCACAGTGAAGCACAAGGATGCCAGGCAACAAAAGCCCCCAAACAACATCAAACTTTCAGGTCCAACGGCATAATTTAAATACAAAAGCTTGTTTATAAAATGTGCTCTTGAGATAATCTGAAAATTATTGGGGAAACAGTTTTAAGAATATTTTAAAATAATTGGTATGTGGGCTTCTGTGGAGATAGTTTTCATATTTTTGTACTTTAAAATGTTTGCACATGGAAGTTAAGACACACAGAAAAGTGAAGTTTCAATGCTCCCACTCTCAACATTTTCAAATAATGTCTTTTTTTTATTTTTACAAATTACATTCCTCCAAGAAATATACCATTCACAATAAAACTGGCTGCTAAGTTAATTCAAATGACATTTAGGTTAAACATTTTCTCTCATAATTTTCCCTCATCTTTGCTGAAAAATATCTTTGCAAAATAAGTGTAGAAATTATAAAAACATGCAGCATATGTACAAACTGAAAAAGTTTAAAAAATATTAACTTCATATACATGTAAATCTAATTGGATATATCTGAAATTAAATATAAAATTTTCACTTTCTAAAACAAGAGTTTTCAGAAAATCTAAGACAACTACTTAAAGTTGTACAAAGATTTCCATCAGGAAATGTTATATTCAAAAAGATATCTAAATTGTTCTTTGTGGGAATAGCTGTTAATTCACTTTGTCTCATAATTCATTTTTAAACTTTAAATCTTAATCAGCAACATCACCCTTAAAACTGTTCTGTTTTTCAGAAATTAGATTTATACTAAAATCCAAAATATCACAAAAATGCTGGCTTCTTGTGTTTCTGGATCCCTTCAAAAAGATTTATCAACTCACTTTGGAACTGTAAAAAAAACAACTATTTACAGTATTTCATTTTAAATACTTTTCACAATTTCTGAATTCAGCTTTTATGTTACAAGAAATTCATCATAGCTCATGGCTTAAGTCCAGTTATCAACCTGTAGCATCTTTGCTATTGTGTAATCCCATTTCTGTACCTATACAGTGTACAGTTCAAGATTGTACTGCAGTTTTCTTGACTGAAAGTAACAGACTTTGCAATATGTCCATTTCAATATTTAAACAGCTTCTTTATTAGTCTGGAGACGGGTCATCGCCTCTAATTTCTGTCGATAAGCCTCTGCTTCTTGCTCTTTCTTTAGAAGTTGCTGGCGATACTTTTGTGCTTCTCTATTTGCTTCATCCAGCTGTTTTTGTAGAGTTTCTCTCTCCTATTGAAAACAAAAACAGCAATATTTTGCCAAATGCATACTAAGTGCAAGACAAATGACAGTTTTTACACAGATAAGGTGTAATGTATCATGCACAGTATCATAAGCTAGGACGTTCAGCTCTGCAATTTGCTCAGGAAAAACTCTCATTTAAATACTTTTGTGTAAGTAAACAATGAAAGTCTGAGGCAAGCAATTACTCAGAAGATTTAAAATGACAAATAAAAAAATACTTTTGTTAAGATTATGCTTTTATGATATTTTCTGTCAGAAAACAGCAACTTTTGGAAGACTATATTGAATAGTCAGGAACAGGAACTGAATCAGTTTCCAGAATCTGAATAATTTTTTTACTAAAAAAATTAGTATGCAGTTCATAGACAAGCAAGTTTTTCATTATGAGAGAAAGAGAGAGAGAGAGTATGAGTAATTAGAAATAGAAACTTCAGTATAGAAATAAAATTCCTAGGGACCAGTTCCCCTACATCATGATAATAACTTCTGTGGAGATCAGTGATTGTTGCTTATATTCTGATGTGGAAGAATCAGAGTCCAGAACGTCTACTCTGATTAATTCAATTATTTTCCCCCTCCCCTTATTATATATCTACTACATATTTGAGATAGATTGTCTGTCTGTCTGTTCAAGAACTCCTCCTAAACGGTAAGAACTAGGACCACCAAATTCGATGTATAGCTTTTTTTATCATCATAACTTCAAGAATGGTAAGGGTTTGATTGTACGAGGAAAATGGGATGTGCTTCTCATAAATGGAATTGCGTCTCATAAAATCATATAGAAAAGACAGACAAAATCATCAAGCAGGTGAAAGGGGTTGGCTGGGGGTGCACCCTCCCTCTCCAGGACTGCTCCAACCCCCAGGTGCCCTTTAGAGCGGGGGGAGCTGAAGTTCCCCCACCAGATTTGTACAGGGACATTTTTGGCTGTTCTCCTTCATCAGGGAGCAAGGAGGAAGTGCACGGTTTGCTGCATTCCACACACTGACTGGGGAGCACAGGGTGGCAGAGCAACCTGGACCTACCCCAGCTGGGTGACATGTACCCCCTTCCCCCATGCGTGCCCTCTGGAACTGCAGCAACTACAGAGAGGTGCTTCTCTCCTAACCAGAAGCTGCTGTTACAGAGGGCTGGGTTAGTCCTCTTTCCTTGGGGCAGCCTGCATACTGAACCCCTATTCCTCAAACTCACCCTAGAGAAATTATTTAAATTAAGCCGGTACATTTTCATTTTATTCTCCAAAAAAACAAAAACAAAAATTGAGGATCTGAGCAACGCTGGGTAAATCTTCTAGTTTATATACCGCGTAAATATATACTCATACAAATACGCACACACCAATATTCCTCAACATAAAATATTGGCCCACGAGAAAGATTTTAACCAAGAATCCTACTGGCAAGTACTTTTAAGTGGTTTAGTTTCCACAGTCCTGCAACACACATTTGTCAAACCTTTTCTCCCTCCAGCTAGAGATCTCTGTGTTTTAAGGTGGAAAACCTCTATTTCACCTCACCAGGAGAAGGAATGAGATGCCAGTTTATTTTCTTCTATTGTTTTGCAGGAAAAAATTCCTGAAGATTGCCATACAACACTGCTGAAGAGGAAAAAAACCCCAAAAAACACACACAGAAGGATCCCCAAGTAATGATCCTAGGACAACGCTGAGGCTAGTTTTATTTAGTACACCTCAAGGTAATATGTGTCTGGTAACATTGAATTCTAATTATTTTCTACCATACCAAATGATTGAATCATAGCTACTGCCAAAAAATACAATGTAAAAGGATACCTTTCTCACCTAACATAATTGTATACTCAGACATACTTATTCAGTTCAGGGTTTTTATTACTTTGTACTCCTGTTTGTACACTAGAACCTCAGACTTACATAACTGACCAGTCAACCACACTCTTCATTTTGGAACCAAAAAACTTTAAATCAGGCAGCAGCAGAAACAAAACAAAATAAAACAAAAAGAGCAAACAGGGTTCAGTCCTGTGTTAAACTACTAAAAAAACAACAAACCGTTTTTCTTCTTCAAACCTGTACAGGTTGCGCCTCTGAAAACTGGCACTCTCTGGTCCCACATCATCCATATTCCAGAAGGACCATGGATACTCCTGGGTATGAATGATGGGGATGAGCCACTCTGGAACATCCATTGCCCCAATTCAATATGAAAAGGATATGCAATGAGAAAAGCAACAGAGGATAAAGAAGGAGGGTCAGCTGGGGCTAACATGGTTGGCAGCCTGACTGGGGGCAGCACAGCAGCATAGGGCTGGAGCCCCGGAGCAGCCCTCAGAAGCATGGTGCTGGGACCAGAGTTGGAGCCCCACAGTAGTGTAGGGCCAGAATCCCCTAATAGTTTCCCGGAGCGCAAGACTGGAGTCTGACAGCAGCTCTCATGGCAAGTGAGGCCAGAGACCCACGGCAGGAGCCAGAGTCTGGGCTCGTCAGGGAGACAACAGCTGGGCAAGAAGCCCAGCCAGGTTGAGGGGGGAGGCGCACAAGGCAGGGTGCCTGCTGGGGCAGCCTGCCAGCAGCAGGCAATGGATTTGAGGGCCAGTGGCAAGGGATCTCTCCTGGTCTGGAAAATTTTCTTGTTCGGGACTTATCAGGTCCTGATGGTGCTGGACCAGGAAGATCGAACCTGTATCAAGTCAGTGTTCAGTTGTAAACTTTTGTAAGAACCATAACATTTTTTTCAGAGTTAAGAACATTTCAGAATGATGAAGAACTTCCATTTCCAAGGTGTTTGTAACTCGGAGGTTCTACTATACTACAGAATTCTTTTTTAGTTTAGTTCAGCTGAAGGACAGGCTAAAGTCCAGTTACAGAATTTTTATTTCTGGCAAGAGTACAGAAACCTGAAGGGGCACAGCTTGACTTTCAAATCCAAGGCTAGTGTGAAAAAACAGTTTTAATTGCAAAGCAAGCGATCTGATTTAGAAATCAAGATGCAACAAACATGGAACTCCACAAGATTACTTCTGGAGTCATATTTCAATCTCCAATATGTGATCAAGTAAAATAACATGCTGGTTGTATATGTATATTGAATAACTAACAAAACTGCATTCTAATGTGGTAACTGTGCTTCAGACCATCAAAATAACATTTTTAATCTGTTAAATAATTTAAGAGAGACTTGGACATCTTAAATCTTGTTAGAATTTTTTTAACTTAGAATTGTTACATGTACGTATTGCCTGGAATTATCCCTTAAGATTACTCTAATTAAAAGGAATTAGAGAAAAAAAAATTTTAATTCCCTCCTTCCACTTTGTGCATTTACTATCTAGTTATTTGATCAGAATATAATGTCATCAGCTAACAGCCTGCCACAGCTTATTATAAATGCCAATCATGCTTTTATGGAAAATAAACTAAGGAGACAAAAGCATGCCGATCAAGTACTATTCTAATACAGTAATTCCTTATTTAACATTATAGATATGTTTCAGAAAATGATCGTGTTAAGTGAAAACGTGTTATGCGGGGTCAATTTCCCCATTGAAAATAATGGAAAAGGTGGGGATTGCCTTTCAAGCAGCACCGGGACATAAGGTTGGGGGAGAAAGGGGACTGGGTTGCAGCAGGGAGGGGAGGTGTTTGGCTCTGGGGAATGGAAGGGAGGGGAGCAGAGGGGAGGGGGATTGGGTTGGGAGTATGCCCCTATGATGGGCGTCTGCTGGGATCCGCACTGTGTCTGGTGAGGGGGAGTCAGCGGGCAACGGCGCGCGAGCAGTGAACCCTCCGCTGCTTTGCAGGGAGGCGGGGGAAGCCCTGCACAGCCGCCGGCAAGGGGGTGGCTGGGGAAATCGTGTTATTCCGGGGACAGTCGTGTAATTCAAGAAACATTCCCTAAAAAAAAAAAATTGTGCTATCGCGAAAATGTGTTAAGCGTGCACGAGCTAAATGAGGAATTACTGTTCATACAAGCTCCATTACAATTACTTTGAGTCTGATTGGTTTCCTATTGATGGCAAAATTCTTACTAACTTCAATAGGAGTAAGACCATGCTATTTATTTCTATTATGCCATTTGGATGGTATAATTTTAACTAATAGCTCTCTATGCTGTAAAGTGATGGCTGCTCATTGTAAAATTAACTGTTATATTCTCATTCATTTGGAAAATACACTTGTGTTTCAGTCACTCACTACATAATCTATAAGAATATTTTAAGGTTTTTTCCCTCAAAAGTACATTATGAACTAACAAGTATTTGGCTTGATTTATTATGTAAAGTGGATTACAGTTCGTCATCCTACAACCAATTGCCTGGCATACCTTGCATCTGCTATATTTAAACATGATGTCACAGAGTAGTTTCAAGGCAAAGTGAGACACTTCATTTCAAAGCAGGAGACATTTCCTGTGTCTCAGGGAACATAGCTGAATGTATTTCTGCTGTACTCAGCCATTAATGATGTGAAGGCTGCCATCTTGTTTGATGGAGAAGAGTCATTGTGACATACTGAATCCTACTGAAAAATGACTGCCTTGCAAAATAGCTTTGTTTTGATCTTTACTCAAGCAGAAGCCTTCCTATTAAAATAAGTTCAGCATACTTTTATGGATAAGCCCATTTTTCATACACTCACTCTTTTCACTTTAATCACCAACTGGTAGTTTGGAAGCAAGAGTCTCAGAAAATTAAGCTGCTGAGCTATCCCTCAGGAAAACGTTGGTCTATTAAATAAGACGACATTATCACCCCACTCCCTCACATTTTCTCCTTCATCCTAGCAGCTCAAACCATATTACTATTTCAAACCTCAAGCAAGTCTGAAATGCTTTTATATACTACTTAAAAAACACTTTTGTCAGCTCAGTAACCCTACTCCTCACCTGTTTGCATAAGTACCTAAAAATGTTAAATACATTTAATATGCACAGTATGACTACCACTTCCTACAGGGTCCTAGAGTTACTCCTAGGATTCACATGAGGTGCTGAATATGTCAGACT